TAATCCTCAGCACCTTTTCCTATCATACATCTATCGTCTTTATCTCTCCTCCTTCATTTATTTGTTAGTTACCGTCTAGTAACACCTCTAATCTTCAGAGTTTACATTATGACTTATTCGGGTGGCAGGCGCCGTGAACGTCTTTCAAAAACTAAATCTGTATTTATTATTTCCCTGCACTAAAGTATGACCGTAATGGCGTCGATGTTCTTCTCTTTACTCAAACTCAAACCGTCTTTCTCTTTTCCCCTTTCTAAGACCCAAGCGTGGTAAGAAAAAGAAAAAAGAAGAGGAAAAAAAAGAAAAGAATTGTTTTGCTGCTATAGCTAACAAGAGGCGGGTCATTTACGAGTGTGTGTTGATGCTCACTCGCTTGGAACAAGAACCAGGGGAACCTCTTTGGTCGTTCAAGTGTGAACCTCTTCAACTTCCAACTTGTTAACGCTTTTGGTCAAACTCGGACTGCTTCGTCGTTTCCCGAACTGAGTCCTTCTATACTCACCACATGCACAATCGAACCTGTTCTTGCGCAGCCACCTGTCTAAGACAATCACCTGTAGCCTACAAACGACCACTCCACACCCACACCCCCTCCCAAATGATGGTGGGGGTTGTTTTGTTTTGTTTGTTTGGGGGGTTTTGTTTGGTTGTTTTGTGGTGGGGGGAGGGAGGATTAAATCTTAATGATAGTTTCTTAGGGGACCACCTGAGTAAGATGATCATTTTTCTCCTCGCCTATCGGTGATCTTCTAGGACAGGTTCGACAGTCACAAATACGTTCAATACTAGTTTCAATTCATTTTTTTAAATGCAGACTTTTTCAAATACATGCTGAAGTAAGAGATATCAATCAATGGCTCAATGATATGTATTTCTTATTTTGACATTTTACAGTCCATTATTTAAATCCAAAACAACTCTCGCTATTGTTATCTCTCGGAGTAAACATTGAATAGAGACTTCATGATGGTATATCGGGAGATTGAAACTGGAATGATAATAATAATAAATGTCTCTCTTTCTCTCTCTTTTTCCCGCGGGACGCCATTGACGGCTCGCGCGGAGCGGATCTGGTGCCAGGGAGCGAGCTGTTGTAAGACTTGTCAGCTATTGAAAAGGAATACAAAGGGAGAAAATTGTCGCCCCTCAAGCACAGCTCAGGGGAATCTGTCAGAACACGAATGTTTGAATTAAGTCTTCGCGATTGGTCGTCAATCAGCACTTGAAAGTCGATTCCCGCTCTGTTTATTTGCTGCCTGTCTTAGCGAGGTGAACGGGAGGTACCTTGTCGATGGCTTTCCAAATCCTGTTTATTTGACACCTTGTACGTGTAATGTAAGATCTTTGAACTTTTTGAAAGCCCTACTTGTCGCCGCAGACACCGTTACCAGTTTGTTTCGTGTGCGGTTACGACCTAATCTTGACAGTTTAAGTATCTGTATTGAAAGAGTTGATATACTGTCACTTGGGAAAGCGGTTCTTGAAATCTCCGTTGTTGTTTGGTACGCGTTGTTACAAACTCCTTCACTCTTGATTTGGGTTATGTTACCGAATTAATGATATTAATGCCCTATCACTTTGTCTGAAGAGTAGTTCATTCATACAAGCTGATCTGGTAGGGGGGAGGGGGTCCCCCCCCCTCTCTCTCTCTCTCTCTCTTTCTCTCTCTCTCTCTCTCTCTCTTTCTCTCTCTATCTATCTCTCTCTTTCTCTCTCTCTCTC